GCAAATAGATAAATTGCTTAATTTTGGGAAAAGGTGACTCCTTTTGTGTAATTATCATTTTTATCATGATTTCTATTGTGCACTCCTATACACTTTGTGATGATTGTCTAATATGTGAACATATGATTAATCAAAAAAGGTTGTGTAGAATAGATACTTTAAATTTTGGCATACATTTTAAATGTATAAGTTTTTGTATAAGTTTTGTATAAGTTTTTTATGTTTATACATAAACTTATACATATCCAGCCTAAGGTTATAAAACCTATGGTTTGATACCTTATGTTGGATTATGGGAAACAAAGGAAAACAAAAAGGAAAGCAAAAACATTCAGTAAACATAAATTAGCCATTTTTTCTTAAATCTGTTTTGCTGAGGAAGCATAGTACCTACATGCTTTGAACAAAGGACTTGATATTTGGCTGGTGAAAGAGTCTTCTATATTTTCATTTTAAAAAAAGACTTGGGAAATTACATCCAAAAATCCTATGCTAAAAGTAGATGTGTACATGTAATTCACTTTAGATCTTGGTTTGTTGACTTGAAAACAATTTCACAAAAAGTGGAAACTTGGCTGTGTTACTGTGCATGAGGCCAAAAGTATAGTATGGGTATGTAGAGACAAAACCAAGAGGACCAAGGCACACATTGATATATAGCTACTCAGGGACATGAAGTGCAACAAAAAAACCATTCTGTAAGTATTTTAGAAAAATAGTACTAAGGAGAGTGTAGATCCTTTATTGAATGAGATGGGGAGCTAATCATGAATGATGTGAAAAGAGCTGAAGTGTTTAATGCCTTTTTTTACTTCAGTCTTCATAAAAAGTCAACGATCAGATGGTGAGTAGAGTTAGTAAGGATAGAGGGATAATCAGTGTAAAGTGGATGGCAAGGTGAGTGAGAGTCAACAGTATGCTATTGCTGCAAAGTTATTTTTCAAAGAACTTTGTATTCTATAGAACTTCACTGATTCATGAGTTCTCAGTGATTTCAGGTGCAGTTTTGGTGCTCAGGACTTCTGCAAAACATCTGTAAATATTGTTACATTTAGGTGCTAGACTTTGGTGTTCTTGCATTGCATTTTTTCCTGTAATTTGCATACTAATCTGAAATGCCTACTGCAGGGCCATTTGTTCTGAGAGGTCAGTGACGTACATACTTGGTTGTATTAACAAGTGTCACCAGGAAAGTAAGAGCTTCTTCCATTATAGTCCGCATTGATGAAGCCTCACCTAGAACACTGTCCAGTTTTAGGCACTGCACTTCAAGCAAGATGTGGACAAATTAGAAAAAAGATGGAATTATTTAGGTTAGAAAAGAGAAGACCCAGGGGGATTTGATAGCAGTCTTCAAATATAAAAAGGGATGTTAAACAGAGAATAGTGATCAGCTATCCTCTGTGAACTAGGCAACAAGAAATAAATTGTGAGCTTAAATCCTAGCAATGGAGAGCTAGGTTAGATATTAGAAAGAACTTTTTAACTATGATAATGGTCAAGTACTGAAACAAGTTGCATATGGAGAGTTCAGTAAGCTGCATGTGATCCCAGCTCTGCTGGGAGCTGCTTTCTCCCCCAACACTGCAGTCTCTGCCTTCCGTACCTTGCCTTATTTTTCAGAGGAGGTTGAGTTTGGGGTGGGGGGAGATATACCCCTCTGCACAAAGCAGGAACTGGGGTGCAGCAGGGGATGGGTCACTCACAGCACCCCCTGGGTCACAGAAGGTGGTCCATGGTTGGTAAAAGGTTGCCAACCTGTGGACTAAATGACTGCCTACAATCCTTTCCCAGCCCTATGATTCTGTGGTTTGCAGAAGTCTTGAGCACTTACAACTGCAGCTGAAGTCATTGAAAATTCTGTTCTGAACCAGTCAAGTCCTCCATCAATGCTGACCTTGTGAAGGAACACCTTGAGAGGCTGGATACCTTCAAGTCAGCCAGCCCTGACAGTTTACACCCCAGGGTACTCAAGGAGCTGGCTAGCATCATAGCTCAGCCCCTGGCACAGATCTTTGAGAACTCCTGGCTCTCTGGTGAAGTGCCCAAAGATTGGAAGAAGGCCAATGTGTTTCCTATCTTCAAGAAAGGGAGGAAAGTGGATCAGGCAAACTACAGGTCCATCAGCCTGACCTCTATCCCGGGGAAGGTCTTAGAAAAGATTATCAAAGAAGCCATTCTTAACAGACTGGCTAATGGCAACATCCTAAGGGATACCCAGCACGGGTTTGTTGTGGGTAGGTCTTGCTTGACCAATCTTATTTCCTTTTACGACAAGGTGACCTATCACCTGGACAAGGGAGAAGAGATTAATGTCATATATCTTGACTTTAAAAAAGCCTTCAATCTAGTTATCCCATGATCACCTCTTAGCAAAACTGGCTAACTGCGGCCTCAGCCTCATCATGATCCACTGGCTGGAGAATTGGCTCTGTGGTAGGACTCGGAGGGTGGTGGTTGACAGAACTCAATCGTCGTGGTGCGCTGTGACCAGTGGGGTCCCTCAAGGCTCTGTCCTTGGGCCTACACTATTCAACATCTTCATTAATGATGTGGACATTGGTATCAGAAGCAAACTGACCAAGTTCGTCGATGACACCAAACTCTGGGGTATAGCGTCCACACCTGAGGACAGGAGGGCGATCCAGGCTGACCTTGACAGGCTCAGGAAATGGGCAGATGAGAACCTGATGGTGTTTAACACCGAAAAATGCAAGGTTCTTCACCTTGGGAAGAAAAACCTGCAGCATGCTTATAGGCTCGGCAGTGCTACACTGGCTAGCACTACGGGCAAAAGGGACTTGGGGTCATGATTGACCACAAGATGAACATGAGCCTGCAATGTGATGCTGCAGCTAGTGAAGCGAGCAGAACACTGGCTTGTATCCATAGATGGTTCTCAAGCAAATCCCAGAACATCATTCTCCCATTGTACTTGGCCTTGGTGAGGCCACAGCTGGAATATTGCGTCTGGTTTTGGGCTCCACAATTCAAAACAGATGTGGAGAAGCTTGAGAGGGCGCAGAGGAGAGCCACGTGCATGATCAGAGGTCAGGAAAACAGACCTTATGACAAGAGGCTGAGAGCTATGGGACTCTTCAGCCTGGAAGAGCACAGGTTCAGGGGTGATCTGGTGGTCACCTATAAGTTTATCAGGGGTGCTCACCAGGATCTGGGGGAACGTCTGTTTATCAGAGCGCCCCAAGGGATGACAAGGTCGAACGGTCACAAACTCCTACCTGACCATTTCAGGCTGGACGTAAGGAAGCACTTCTTTACTGTCCGAGCCTCCAAGGTTTGGAATAGACTGCCACCAGAGGTGGTTCAATCACCTACTTTGAACGCCTTCAAGAGACATTTGGATGTCTATCTTGCTGGGATTCTATGATCCCTGCTGACTTCCTGCCCCTGGGGCAGGGGGCTGGACTTGATCTTCCAAGGTCCCTTCCAGCCCTAATGTCTATGAAATCTAAGATACAAAGTTCTTTGAAAAATGAGAACAACAGACATCTTTAGTCAGGACACTCCAAAGTAGTATGATCCCGTTCTGTGAAATGGGGCTAGTAACACTGCTTCACCTTAGGTGTTGTGAGGGGGTGCATTGCTACTTGTATTTACAAGTACTACCCTTCTGCAGAGTTTGTTAGTTTCCAGTGACCTAATAGGGCCACACTTGTAGATGGCAAGATGTTTACTGCAGAGCTAAATAGGCAACTCCACAGTAAATGTCTTGTGTACATGTGC